AGGATTTAGTCAGAACTGATTGCTTTGTGTCCAGATATGTCTATTTAGTGATCGTTTGTTCAGAAATGTTACACAAAGCAGATTGCTCATTGTCAAGGAAAGTGGGGTTTTTCCATCCTGTTTTAGTAAGTGTTCCTAAAAGCCTCGTACAGAAATGTCTTCATGTCAATAGCAAATTATGAAGGAGTGCTGCACAGCAGATTGCACTGAACTTTAACTAGTACACGTTTGACTACAGTTCATGTGTCTTCAAACAGCTTTTCAAAACAGCGTATTTGTTGTCTAGCCTGGATTCATTTTGAACAGGCTGTCTTCATGGTTAAGCTGTTATCATCCAAGTAATAAAACTTATCTTAGAAATGTTATCAGACTTGAGAACATCTGTCCTGTTGTATTTCCAGTTGGCAGTGTTGGCAGCTGCATCAATATAGAATTTTCTCAGAGGGAGCTTAAGTGGAAATTGATTATTTGAGCCTTTGTGAATAAGAAGAGTGATAATTCTCTATAGTTTTATGTTCTGGTTAGTATTTTGAGATGTATGGTGAGATGTTTGTGGCACCTAAATGATGTTGAGAGTGGCTGTTTCACTTGTTGAGGAAGTAGATACTTGATACTGGGCAGAAATGCTCTCAGCGTGTGCATGTGCATGTAAATGTATCAATCAGTCCATTCAGGGTGAATTTCCTTAGTGTTGTTCAACACATTCCATGAAGAAATAGCCAGAAGAGGAGAAGGAAAAGAGCTTTTTCTGTCAGAAGACAGGCACAGCTTTCATCAAGCAGGTAGGAAAGCGATCAGTATGATCACTGCACCCAAAATGGTGGAGTGAATGGACATCATATGAAAGCTGAATTGCCATGACTAGCACCTAAGGTAGGTGGAGTTTTTGATGTGTTTCAGTTGGTTGTTGTTTATTTCTTTACGTGATTTACTTCAAAGTGAAGTAGTAAACCTGCATGCGTATTTGATTAAATGAACAGCTTTTAAAGACATGCTGTGATCAAACCTGTTGTGTGCTGTTTTCTGTGCTCTCTTTGGATGAGTGTCTCCTGCGTCTGGACCAGAAATGTGATGGCTGGTTATATAGTGCATGGAACCATATAAGCAGCAGTTACTTTAGATTGAGCCCAGTTAGTAGGATTATTATTGGTTTGAGATGGGGAGGATTAATTCACAGCATTGCAATGTGTAAGCGTTTCTTAGGAATTGTATATGGTGAATCTCTATCCCAACTTTCTGCTGCTGAAAGGAGTTACCTTGCTCTCATCGCTTCCTTTCTCTCAGCTACACACAGATTTTTCTTCTTGATTTGTGTCTTGAATTGGCTCAACAACAAAAAAATAAGTATATGGTTTTGCTTGCTTTTCCATGCTGGTTTAAGCAGCTGAACCCACCTGTGAAGGATTGCTGGAGAACCAGCAAGAGATGGGTACTGGAACTGCTAAGTTGGATGCTCAGCATCTGATGGAATTTCACTTTTCAGGAAGCCCTGTGTTGCTGAGCAGTTTGTTTTTTTTTCCAGGGTATCAGGCTCAAATGTATTTTGCATATGGTTTTTCTCTGTTGCTTCATCACCTAATAGCAGTATTCCATTTGGTTTTGAGAAACTCATCTTCAGCAGGCATTTAAGAATGAAAGGCAAAATATGCAACAAGAGAGGCTGGTGCTGTGGTTTTTGTTGTTATCCTGAGGATATAGCCATCATTTCTGCTTGCTGCTGCTGTCACATTGGGTCATGAGGAAGAATGTTCATTCAGTCATGTACATGGACTTACCAGGAAGGGAAGGCAAACCATGTCCTGGCAATTACCTCTATATATAAGCAGCTCTAGTAGAGATCTCATTGAAAGTTCACTCCTTATGGAGACTTTGGGAAATTAATGGTAATTTTCTCAAAGAGTGTGTAGCTCATTGCTAAATGTCATACAGAATCACTTTTTTAATTTATCAGTTCCTCTGTATTTCCATTACAGTAATTATTACAGACATGTTTTGACATCAAGGAGGCATCAATTTAAATCTGTGGTAGAGCTGAAGTTAAAATAAACTTTCATTAAAATATCTGTTATTTTTTTTCCTCTTTTTGTCACTTTCCAGTTATATATATATTGCTACCTTCCATAGGTGGTTTTCTTTGCGTGTTCTGCCTCAGCTCTGATGAAAAAGGCTGTTTCTCCAGTGAGGGCTCTGAGCGCTGCCTCTCAGGCTGGAGGTGCTGTTTTGAGCATTGGGTTAAACCTTGAGGTCACGTGTAACAGAGTTATGGGAAAAAGCTTTTGATATTGCCTAAGTGGCAGGATGAGAAATTTCAAAGTATCATTATAGATAGCGAATTCCTCTTCCAGCAAAAATACTACATTGTTAAGGTCCTTATTACTAAACACTTGTGTCTCTTTCAAATGCATAATACGTGGCAAAATGTAAATAACAACTGAACCTGCAACGTTTTTCTTCCTACTTGAGTGTGTTTTGTGTGCTTTAAAACAACTTGCTAGCAAATGCCCCTGTCAAGGAGGAAGTCTATCTCCATGCTGGTTCTCAAACTTTCTCTGTGTGCCACGTGGTTTTATGAGTGGGAAAAACTCTTCCAAAAACCACATAGGTGGGTTAAAAGAGGAGGAAGTGGGTTAAAATTTAAGACAGTTAGTAGACAGTTCACTTTGTTACATGAAAAAAAACCAACCATAACATGATATTGGATGTACCCCACACAGGGAAATCTCAGCTGTGGCACCACAGTGCATTCCAGTGTTTGTCAGAGGTAGTGTTTTGTTAGGACTAGCTGGCTGAGAAGAGTAAAGAATAATGAAATTAATGACTCTGCCTTCAGTAGTCCATCACATCCCCTTTTCTTTTAGTCCTTTCCGGAGGAAATCCAAACCCTTAAAAACTAATTACACTGAACTGATCTAAAGTCTCTTCCAAAGTAGAGAAATTGTGTGATTGTATTTAATGTGAACTGTTGGTTCTCACTATGAAATGATATTTCCAGGCACACAAAATCATCCACCTGGACCAACATTTGCTACCATCACTATTATGACATGCACCAGTTCCAGAGCAGTAACAGCTGCTGGTTTCTCTGACTTATCCAGTGTTCTTTCTTTGTTATTTGGTGGGTGTGTTTCTGCTGTTCTTGCATTCTAAAATGAATCCTTTCCAGTATGTTTTTGCTTCTTGAATCTGAATTAATGGTGAGGAGAGGAAATAAATGTGTTGGCCTCAGCCTTTGCTTTGCTGAGTTCTTCAGTATCTCTTAGCCTGCCATCCCACCCCAAGAAAGTTTCTGTCAGGATTATCCTGAAAGGATGGTCAGGTAAAGAAGGAGTTGGGCAGCAGAGATGTGCTTGAGTCTGAGGTTCCCACCCGTGGGCAGCAGCACAAACCCATCTAGGGAGGAGGATGGTGAGCATGCACAGCTACTGCAATGATGAGGCTGGAGGAATCTGTTCCTTTGCTGCTGGATTTCAGCCTTCCTGTGCTAGGTGCTGACGCTGGCAATCTGCTGGTCATTTCTGCAGAGCTGTCAATGACAGCACAAAGATAAAATACCAGATTCTCCATGGAACTGATGCTCACATCTGTTTTATTTCTGTGCTCCATTCAAAGCAAGCACAAACAGAATGCTCTTTTGTACCCTGTTTGCGAGGGGCATTACTATTTTGAAAACCTCAGAGAACTTCCTCTTCTAAAATCACTTCCTAAAGCTCCTTTTCAAAAGGAGGAATGTTAGTGTCAGGATTTAAGGTGTGTTCTGTGATAAGAATACAGTTCAGACAAATCTGGGTTACACCTAACAAACAAACAAAACCCTCTTTAATTACTGTTGTAGACATTTTGCTTTTCTGCAATTTCATTCAATAGCCAAAGGAAATCTAATCAGTCCTGAAACTACGTTTCTTTTTTCCATGCAGTCTGTGTCTCTTTGGGGTGAGAGGAAGTATGTTTCAGTGTAGGGGGTGTAGTGTGAGCAGAATGCCAGTGGATTTCATCTTGGCTAATATGTACCTGCAGTACAGGTACAGTACAGGTACCTGCACTTAAAGCACAGTGCCCTGTATTGAAAATGTACCCATTTGTGCAAGAGGAAGTCAGATTTAATTACTGAGAGGAGCACCACGTAGACTTAAATACCACCATTAGAAGGACATCTGATTTCCTAGGAGGATGCTTCCAGATGTGGGTACCACTTCAGGGCAATTAGATGCGTGTGCTTTCCCACAAGGTCTTCTCTGTGATCCATGGCACTCGTTGCAGCCATATGAAGGCACTGGGGCTTTTGGATCCTGTTCTGGTTTAGTAATGCTGTGGCTGCACTGTAGCCCAGAAAGTTTCTCTTACTCATGTTCATTTCAGAGTTAACTAGCACCACAATTTCGGAGAAGTCATTGCTAGGGCTGCTATCTATTGAATTTGTTGAGAAATGCAGGCAAAATTCACTTTAAATCACTGCCTACACTGAGTCAACTTGTCTGAGGTGTATTATTTCGTTGCAAATAGAATGTGAAATTTTTTTCTCCAAACGTGTACCCACTCACAATACATTGAGCAGCATCAGAGTATTGCTGTAGCCCCCATGCCTTTGCATTATTCAGGCTTTTGGTTAGCATCTGTTATTAATGCATTTAATATCTATGCATTTAATATCTATTAGTATCTATTATTAAAAAGACTTTAGAAAGACATCCAGAAACAGGATTGCAGTAATTTTTGATACTTATAGTAAAATTAAGTTAATGAGACTGCAACTGTATTTATTTATATGTCAGATGTTCAAGATTGTTCTGAATTGTAAGGTCTACACTTGTGTTTAATCAATAGAAGTTCTTATCTGAGGTTGTCTCTTTTAAAAAGCAGATGGTCTGTGTTTGACCATCATCAATGGTAAACACTCTTCAAATGAAACACCACAAGTATGTTCATTTATATAATGAATAATTTATAATGTATTTGCATATATATTGGTTTTTAAACTCTTTTTATTGTTATTTTTCACACAGGGAGAGAATTGTAAAGAAAAACCACGGGCATCCCTTGGCAAAAGTAAAGCAGAGGAAAAAGCGAAAAAGAAACAAAAAAATGAAGATGACAGAAATCACAAAGCAGAATTTAGGTGGAGCGGCTCATCTCATTCCAGACAACCAGGAAACATCCGAAAGTGAGGGGGATGACTCAGAAGAGGAAAACAGAAAGTCCCTGTGTGCATCTGGGGAAGGTCCTGAGGATCCAATGGGAGGTTGTGAGGAGCGGCCGAATGGTGATAAGGAAAGTGGGACAGAAGCTGTGAGCTCTCCTGTCACAGAGATCTCAGCTGTATCCAATGGGGTGCTGATGCATGAAGTGCCTGTAGAGAGTGACAGCTCACCTCTAACAGATAAGAAACCCCTTTGTACTGGAAGCACAACCAAAAACATGTTTGATGATGAGGAAGTGAATCAAAGGCATAGAGAGAATCTTTGCAAGAGCAGTACCCTGAACGTAAAGAATGATGCAAGCTGTATCCAAGAAGTGGAATGCAACTGTGAAGGTAACAGTCTGCTGTCCAGCACAGAAAGCAAACTTAAAAGTACATGTGGACCTGACATGGAAGCTGAACAGTTACTTCTAAATGGTGAAGGAAAAGAAATCTCTCTCTGTCACAATTCCAAAGTGCCTGATAGTAACACAGACAATAAAAGTGCAATGAAACCAGAAGAGAACTGCTCTAATGCCTGGGCTTTTTTTTCAATTAATTTATCTACTGAGGAATTACAGCAGGGCTTTGATGCACAACTTTCTCCTTCTTGGTCTGAGGATAAGTTTGTAGGTGAACAAAGACAGAAAAAAGTGAGGAAGCCCAAACAGATGTGCACCAACAGTTCAACAGAGCTGAACTGCCCCCAGCCCAGTGAGGGATTGGTAAAGGAAAACCACCAGGAATTGGTGACTGAGGAGGCAGGTAATATACAGAGCAATGGTGTGTTGGCATCTTTGCCTGGTGAAGTGCATGTGGGTTCACTTGTGGAACCCAGGAGCACCTCCACGCACTATTCAATGCCAGTAAATGCTTCAGGAAATGATGCTGCACCAGTTGCACCAAAGAGAAAAAGGTACAGAAGAATAGTCAACTTGGCACCCAAGTTTAATCTACCCAGAGAAATTGCTGGTGGTATGGAGGGAGGGGAGGAAGTCCCACTGAAAGGTGATGGTCCCTCAGAAAGTGTATTAGAAGTGGAGCAAAAGGGCTTTCTGCACCAGGACCGTGGATTGGGATGTGAACAGAACCTGGCGTTTCAGGAGTATGCTGCACCATACAGTGGCCCTGAGGCACCCTATTCCTTGCCCACCCCTGATGTGGATTCCCCTTTACAAGCTATTTCATATTTTCATTTGGGAAGGTCTTCTCCAGTGCCAAAGTATTCTTGTAGTGTTTGTGTGATTTCCAAAGCAAAGGAGGAGCGAGCTCAAACTCCGAGGCAGCATCAGGCAGTTGGTAACAAAGAAGGTGAAGGTGAACAAACCTCCTCAGATGTCATAAGCAGCCAACCAGATATTTTGTCTTCTGTCCAAGATGTTTCTGAATATGCAGAAGATCCGAGCATCTTGGAAAAGTGTGTTGCAAATGTGCACAAAGCAGATGGCCCTGATCCATCAGCAGCATCTCCACCTGAATTTAAACAAGACATGAATATGAAAACCAGCTTTCTGGGACTTCCCTTATCCATAGGATTTGCTTTTCAACTTGTGCAGCTCTTTGGTTCTCCAGGTCTTCCGCTGGGTAATGCTCTTCTTACTGCTGCTGTGTAAATGTGTGTGTCTGTGATTAAGTGTTCATTTTGACTGCAGGTAACAGTGAATGAAATAGTAACCCCATTGAAAGGAATCGCTGCTGCTTTGGTGAATTTCTTTCTTTCTTTCTTTTTTTTAAACTAAAAGCATCTTTATCTCCAAGGGGAGATGAAGACCATTGGGTTTGGCCTCACCCTCACGTTCTCTGTAGTGATGGTAACTTAGCAACTCAAATCCAAAGCACAAAGCTCTTGATGTGAATACATCATTCTCAGAAAGGCTTTAATTTGTTGATTACAAATCTAAATGGAAAAGAGGGTACAAAATATGTGCTCTTATATAAAACCTGCATGTTTGATTTTTTTTTTTTATCTGGTTGATGATAGTAGCATTTTCTCATAAACAAAGAAAAAGGAATAAACCCTAATGTGGGTTTATTCATAAACCCTAATGTGGGTTAGATACAATTGAAAAATTTTTCCAGAATCTAATTTAAGTTCTACTTTGATATCAAACTTACAGGATGCATTTTCAGATATACACTATTTTCTTTTTAATCACACACGACTGAGTGTCACAGTGGCATGTTTGCCTTCTGGAGCTCTAGTTTGTCCTATATTTGTACTTTCAGTTTAGCACATTAACTTACTTAGAAGCACCATCAGTGCTCGGGGAAGCTGTGTGTGGCAACTGTGATTTCTAAACCACTGCCAGCTGGCACAGAGCTGCAGTCAGCAACAACAGGCGTGTTTGGGAATTGCTACAACACTGTGATGGAAAGAGCCACCCATGTCCCCTGTGTGTAAAGGTCTGCAACTTCCTTGGCCTAAGCTTAGCCTGTGAAAAAAACAGTAAGTTTGATTTGGCAAACAAATAGATTTCAAAACATAGATGAGTTATTGAGTCTGTATACCTGTTTGTTTCAGTGGAATTGAATTTAACCATGTATCCTCATGTAAAAATGTAAAGACAGCTGAAAAGCAGCTTATGTTCTGTCTCTGTGCCAAAACAGGCATGCTGATTCTTTGTTTTATCATACAAGCTGATGGTAATGTTACCTGCCAGAGCACTGATGGCAGCCCCCTGGCAGCACTGCTGGCCTTGATCTGTGCCCAAAGAACCTGCAGTGCTGCCTGACCTCAGTTTGGCACCAAAATCTTGTGCAGGGTTAAGCACAGCCAGGAACAACTGGGATTGTGCTCAACTACTACAGTATCTAAGCTTGGCAAGCGCTAATGTCTGTGGTCTTGATTGCCAGCATCTAGGAGGGACTGAAGGTTGGCCATGACTTGAAAGAAGTGATCCGCCAGGGGATGGCAAACATAACAGGCATCCCAAAGCACTCAATTGTTGGGTGCAGCAAATGTCATTCTTCTGTGAGTGAGTTTCCGGATGTTTAGATTGTTTAGGTTGGAGAAGAGAAGGCTTCGGGTAGATCTCATTGTGGCCATCCAGTACTTGAAGGGAGCATATAAACAGGAAGGGAAATGGATGTTTACAAGGGTGGATTGTGATAAGACAAGGGGGAATGGTTTTAAACTGAGATGGGAGGTTCTGGGCTGCCTGGTCTGGTGGTTGGTGACCCTGCACATAGCAGGGGGGTTGGAACTCGATGATCATTGTGGTCCTTTTCAACTCAGGCCATTATGATTCTATGATATGATATTCTAGATGAGTTTCCTTTGTAAACAACTTTTAAGAAATATAAAGCTCCCCCCAGCTTGTGATTGCTGAGCGTTTATTTTGTCCTCAAAAAATGTGAATGCTCCATGCAGAATGCTGGCCATGTTCTGATTCAAACACAATTTTCTCACAACTTCAGAAATTCTTGTGCTTTTTTTGTGGTCGGCTGTGTATTGATAGACTATTGTTTATTGGCATACACATAGAATTACAGAATGCTGCAGGCAGGGTTGCCAACCACTCCATCAGGCAGTAGATTCTGTGAGTGATAACTGCAGACAATTTTTGTTTAATAATTTTGGAGGGAAAATTTTTGGTAAGTAATTGTCCTTGGATATTTATAAATGAAAGATTAAGTTGACTTTCTTGCTAGGCTGTTTCTCTTACCAGCACAAATGTATTTTAGACTGCTTTCAAATGTATTTTAGACTGCTTTTCTATCAAGAATCTCTTTTCAGTTCCTTAAGGAGTAAGGAGTTGTTGCAGTTAAAACATATTAGAAAGTAATTTATTGAATAATATTGCAGTGCTTCCTATAATTAAGCGTTTTAAAATGTGGAGTCTGTTACAGAACTGCATTTTGTTGAATTTATGGGCTGAGAGCTTTCTGTTCTTGTTTGTACTGTGGTTCAGGGAAGTATGGAATAAACGAAAGTCTTTGCCTAAAAAAAGAAAACAAAACCAAATCTCTTTCCCTCCCCTCCGTGCAGTGGCCTTCTGTAAATGTCACTTTTGGCTTTGCTGCTGGCTCATGTAGGAATTAGCAAAAATTATACTGCAGTGATATACTTTAGCCCTGACGAGATGCGAACACTCAACTGCAAAAATATTTTCTTCTGCAGAATCCTTGTTGCCAGATGATTATATAGTTCCTCTTGACTGGAAAGTTTCAAAGATGATCTATTTACTGTGGAAGACCTCTGTGGAGGTACGAATTTTAGGGGATTTCAGAAGGCTTTTCAATATTCCAGGTGTTAAGAGAATTCATTCAGTTCATGAAGCAAGGTTCTACTCTTTGCTAGTAAACTCCCCTTTTTTAATATCCACAATGAGGAGATGGGTGCTTTATGTACACTTCTGGGTATTTCCAAAAACAGTTCATGCCATGGGAGGATCCAGATTTTGGAAGTTCAGCTTCAGAAGTACATACAAAGTAGCCGTGGGAGGTTAACAAAACTTAAAAAATTTCCTTGATCCTTCTGACCTGGTCTGTGTTCACTAAATACAACATACTGTATCTAATGTCTTCCTCCTCATGGTTTTTTCCCATCATCTGAGCAAGTGCCACCCTCTGCAAACAGCAGCAACTTTGTGGCTACTCCTGCCGCGACCAAAGAGGTCATGGAGTGACTGATGGCAGCTTAACTTTCCTTGTCTAATTAGAAATTGTGACTTACAAATTACTCTTGTGCTACTTCCCACTGCTGCTTTGTAAAGGTTTGATTTTACTTGAGGAGCAGTGGAAATGAGGAAAATCCTGTAGATACAATGACATAATAATCTAAAATAGAACACAGACTTTGTTCTCTCCCAGAATAGCAAAATCTCTTGTCACATACTCTCTCTTTTTCTTTGGACTGTTGTTATGTATTTCAGGAGAAGCAGAAAGCAAATGGGTTGCAGAGTGGAAGTGCCTTGGCTGGTGAGTGTATTTTGTGATCAAAACTGGTATAAAATATTTGTAGAGAACATAGTTAATACTGAAGTGAAGTATGCCAAAGATTTTCAGCACAAAAGAGTGGTAGCACTTCTCTTTGTGCAAAAGCAGTAGGATGTCATGGAGTGGTTTGGGTTGGAAGGGACCTTTAAGATCATCTAGTTCCAACCCTCCTGGCATACGTGTGCCTCATTGGTTGGGTAGGCAGTATGGCAGAGCTGCTGCCACTTCTCCTGATTAACATGCTGAGATTCTTTGCATTTTAGTTTCCTGTATAACATTAATCAAATACTGAATTCATGTTTATCTGATTCCAGGTCAGAAGGAAGTGTAAGATGAAAAAGCCTTTCTTTAGGTTTTGTTCCTCTGCAAAGCTGAGCACCTTCAGCTTAACAGTCAGCCTGACAATAAGTTGGGCTCTCAAGCAGCAGGAGACATCGAGGTCCCACAGGGTGCTCAGGACTTCTACATTAATTCTATACACATTAATTCCTGCAGTGTGCAGCTACAGAATCCAGTTATTGATTGTTTTGTTCCATTATTTCTGTATTAGTTTAGTGTAATTTAGAATAAATTGTGCAACAAGATTAAAATACAATAGTTGTTTGCTGGAAGCTGTTAGGGTTTGTTGCCTGAAATAGGAGAGTTTATGAGGCAGCAGAAAGAGACAGAAAAGGAAGGTCCTTAGAGAGCTGAGAGGAAGTAGAAAACAAGGATTTATATATAAGTGTATATATAAACTGATTTTTACATATATATATGTTGTCTTTGACAGATGTGTATCCATATTATTTAAACCCGAAATAATTAGCTTATTTGTGAGGCCATTTAGGAAGCAAAATCATGAGCATTCTGATGAAACAAAAGCTCTAGAAACATTCTTTTCTGACATGTTACAAATTATGTAAGATAACTTCAAGTATTTTTAGTTGCAGTTTATAATTTATTTTTTTAGCTGATATAATTACCCATGAAGATATAAATGAAAGTCACCATGAGAATGAAGAGTCTTCTGAAATGCTTCCAGAAATGTCTCCTGGGGTGATGGAAGAGAACACCACGACTTGTGCCAGCAGTGGCTGTCTGGGTGCTGTCCTCCATCAGCAGTGAAAGAACACCTTACTTAAAACAAAAAAACTGCATGAAGGAAAAGGTAATCAGTCACACCTGTAAACGTGTTTTATTTCTTGTATTAGACTTGTCCAAACAACTGAAGAACACGGGTTGTTATGATTGTTAAGATGCATTAAGCATCACTCAATTTACTTCTTTTTGTTTTCTTCAGATAAGGATTGAGGTTGGATTTTTGTTTGTTTGTTTCTCTTTTTTCTTTTTGTGAGGTGGAGGATTGTTGGCTTTTGTTGGTCTTATTTTGTCTTTAAGTCTACGTGGGAAAGAGCGGGCAGCACTTTGCTATTAAAGTTCCCTCTTTTTCCCCTCTCAAAATCTAAATTCTACCTGGTGAAGTGAAAGCAATGGTGTAGGTAGGATGCTTAGCAGCTGCACTTTGTTGCCAGCTTAATTACTGAGGTGAGCTGGTGTGATTCATGTCACCTCCGTGCTATATTCCTGATTTGTTGAGCAGTTGAGAGTAAACATTTGAGAGTACTCACGTGGCCAACAAGACCAATGACATCCTGGCTTGTATCAGCAATAGTAAAGCCAGTGGCACCAGGGAGGGGGTCATCCCTCTGCACTCAGACTTGGTGGGGCCACATCTCAAGTGCTGCGTTCAGTTTATCACTCGCTACAACTGCCTGAAAGGAGGTTGTGGTGAGGTGGAGGTCAGCCTCTTCTCCCAGGTAACAGTGGTAGAATGAGAGGGAGTGGCCTCGAGTTGTGCCAGAGGCTGTTCAGGTTGGATACTGGGAAGAATTTCTTCTCAAAGGAGCGGTGAGGCAGTGGCACAGCTGCCCTGGGAGGTGGTGCGGTCACCGTCCCTGGAGGTGTTCAGGAGCCGTGTGGCACTGAGGGACGTGGTCAGTGGGCATGCTTGGGGTGGGCTGGCAGTTGGACTTGGTGTACTTAGAGCTCTTTTCCAACCTTAATGACTCTATGGTTCTAAGCATTATTGGCCAAGTGCTATTTAATTATTAGTCAGATGACCATGATTCTGTATTGTTTCGTGAAGCTGGTTTTGTTGAAATGAGAGTGGACAATGTTTGTGTTTCTCTGAGAAAACTACTTTAGAGTTAATCTAAAGTAGTTTTGAGAGCTCCTTAGAGCAGCGTGGGCAGCACATCAGTATTTGTTGTGGAGATTAGGCAAGAGATCCTGATTAAAAATAATAATAAAATGCTGAAATCAGTGAAAACAGGGTATTATTTTAGTGCCTAAAAGCTCTTAGACCAGGAACTCCCATTGCCAGATGCCAATAGTAGAGCAAGCTGACAAAAGCTGATAGCAGTTTAAGGATTTATCTGCATTTATTATTACAAAATAAAGGCATGTTTTTGCTTGAGGCACAGCAGTAACTCCCTACAGGAACATATCTTCTAGGACAGCCTCACGGGATGGTTGTTTGGGTGAGACAAATCTCCTGATGACCTGTTATCAGTCCTCCTTTCCTGGCCGTGCTATTGCTGGCGTCTCCCCTTGCTGGATGCAGTGTTTCTGCAGTTAGACTGAAGCCATTCAGCTGGGTGAGCTCACCTCAACACACATGCTGAAGGGATCTGCCTGAACCCTCATCAGGCTGAAATGAATTGTCATCCATGCTTTGCATACAGTGCAGACTTGCTTTGGTGTGCAGAACTCTGCACATGAGCTTATGCTCCGACTTCTCTGGGGTGGCTCTGCCCAAGAGATGAGGCAGCAAAGAATCACCTGAGTGTGAGATGACTGGCAGCCAGGTCAAATCAGTGATGGTGAATGAGAAGTGACAGGAGGGGTGAAATCTTATCTCCAAAGGCCTTGATATTAAAACATCTTGTATTTGATGCAGGAGATTAAGGAGTCGCAGGTGTGATGGTGGCAAAAGCAAGGATGTCCTTGGAACTGAGCAGGAAAGAGAAGTCTGAACAAGTTTCCCAGATGTAGATAAAAGGAAAAAAGTATATTTATGCCTGAACATTGAGAATGGATTTGTGACACCGCTCCTCTTACTGTGAAAAAGTAGGAATCATAAAATTTTGACTACTATTACAACTTGGTTTTAATTCTCACTTCCTTAAATTAAACACTACTCAAGAGCTGACAAAAAAAGATGATCTCATCTCCAGTTCCTACTCACAAATTCCTTTTTCAGTGTTTCTTGTGTTTTAATTGGAAACAAATACTAAAGAGAATACCAGTTAAATAACAGAGAAAACCAGTTAAAGTATGTTGTTAAGTGAGTACCTGGTGCTTCATGTGTTGTCACAATAAATGAAGAGTTTCAAGAAGATCTGACAACTGGAAGAAACAAGGCTGCAAATCTGGTGCTTCACTGATTCCTCTCTCTTTAGGCTGGAATGACAAACGATCTGAAAATTACAAAGCAAATTAAACCAGTTCTCCAGTAATGCAACAGAAGATGCTATACCCTCCCACAGTCAAACTCTGAGTTGTTACTTTGCTACAGGATAATAAAGGGAAAACAATCTCTATCCTTTCACATTTAGCATGAAACAGCACTCAGAATTATGACCAGAAAACCTCACCTACCCTTTATAGAGCTTTCCAGGAAAACATGGCCTAAAACTTACTTAAGTAGAGAGCATAATTAAGTGGGAATAAGAGGAAATAAAAGATATGAATGTGGGGGTGGAGGGGGGATGATTAAATAGGAAATAAAAATTAAAAAAAAAAGTCCACTGTGTTACTCATCTCCTTATTTTTGAGTTTTTTTCAGCCTTGTGATTGCTAAGACCTTGCTAGCTCTAATTTTGACATCCAGATTTTTTTTCTTCCATTTTTCTTCCATTTTTGATTTTTTCCCCCCTGCATTTTCTATTTTCTGCTTTTCTCTCTGTTCCTTTTCAGTTATTACAAAAGGTGCCAACGGCTGAGTATGAAAGAGAAACAAGCTTTGTAGATCTCAAATAGGTGAATTCTTTAGTCCAAAGGTCAGATTTGCCACAATTGAAGTCTGCACTATTATGGTATTTCAACAGAATCTTTTCTTTCTTTTATTACAGAAACTTCACTTCGATTCCACCGTGAAAGGACAAACCAAGGATTTTAAATGTAAGGAGCAACCTGGAAGAAAGTAACCAGTATCGCTTTCTGGTGTGAATCTGTAGTCATTTTTTTTTTCCTCCCCCTGGTATCAGCTTCTTTATGCACATAATAAAAGTCACAATTGAGATACACATATATATATTATGTGTGTGCTTAAAGGTCACTTTCTGAAAGCTGGTTGCAATGTACAGGTATATCTTAATGCGCACAAAGGAGGCTTGAATTCTTGTATTTAATTCATTTGTATGAGGGCCCCAAATGTTGCCACATGTATCAGAGCATGAACAGCGCACCAATGGTCTCATCCTATTTCTTCCTGCCCTCACTGCTTATCCTGTTACTTAGCATTAATTTCCAATCTCTTCGTGTCAAGCAAAAGGCTTCCCCAATCTCTCTTTCCCATTCTTTCATCCCAAGGTGCACAGCCTCTGTTGTTTTCTCCTGAAATGGTGCTTCACGTTTCTGTCTAACTGAGGGAAGCCCCAGCCTGAACCTCCACCGTGCAACTTGAGGTCATTCCCTCCTGTCCTATTTCTGTTACATGGGAGCAGAGGCCGACCCCCACCTCACCGCAGCCTCCTTTCAGACAGCTGTAGAGAGTGATGAGGTCTCCTCTGAGCCTCCTCTTCTCCCTACTGAACAATCCCAGCTCCCTCAGCTGCTGCCCATCAGACTTGTGCTCCAGTCCCCTCACAGCTTCGGTGCCCTTCTCTGCACACACTCCAGGGCCTCGATGTCTTTCTTGTAGTGTGGGGCCCAGAACTGAACTCAGCACTCAGTGCGGCCTCCCGGAGCTGAGTACAGAGGGCCGATCGCCTCTGGTGCCGCTGGCTGCACTACTGCTGATACAAGCCAGGCTGCCATTGGCCTTCCTGGCCACTGGGCACGCGGCCGGCTCGTTCTCTGGCTGTCAGCCGTCTCCCTCCGCTCCTTGCCGTCTGCGCAGCTTTCCGTCCGCCCCGCCCAAGCCTGCAGCGATGCACGGTGTTGTTGTGACCGGGAGGGGCCGAGCCGGACCCCGCCAGCTCCCGCCTCCTCCTTCGGGGCTGGGCCCCGTGCGGCGTGCCGAGCCGAGCCGAGCCGTGCCGTATGGAGGAGCAGCTGCTCCGCGCCCTGGGGGCGCTCAGCCTGCAGCCCCCGCCCCGCCGCTCCCCGCGGCGCTTCGGCAAAACGCTGGTGCTGCTGCGAGGCCTGCCGGGCTCCGGGAAGAGCACGCTGGCCAGGTAAGGGCGTCGTCCTCTCTACGGAGCCGCAGCCGTCGCGTCTCGCTGGGCCCTTCCCTGGCGAGGCCTCGGCTGTGCCGGCGGAGCCGCGATGTTCGCTTGTTGCTCCGCGAGGGGCAGCGGACGAGCGCTCCTTGCGGCTGAAACGCTTCCTCTTGTGGCGGGGCAAACCGGCACGAACTGGGGCTGCCGGTCCTCTGCCGTCTGAGCCCCGGTCGGGGCAGCAGCGGTGTGCGGTACGGGCAGAAGAGGCTGCTCCGAAACGGGACAAAAAAAAGCGAGGATACCGTGGGCAGCGTCACCCGGCGCGGCCCCCATCCGCTTCACGGCTCCCAGCGCCCGCGCTCAGCCTCTCACAGAACGGAGACGTTTCCTGGTGCTCTCGCACACCGCCCTGTCCCTTGCCTTCCCCGGCAGCCTGTTCTCGTGGCCGGCAGCCCTGCACCAGCGGGGGGTCGGAACCTCGTGATCTTAAGGTTTCTTCCAGCCTGAGCCGCTCCGTAGCTCCGTGAGCGAGGGCTGTGTGTTCCTCCAGGCCCTGAGGAGCCCCGCGTTGGTTAACGCGCCGTTCTGTGGTGCGGCGAAACGGCCGGACTGCAAAAGGTGGGAGCACAGAGCGTGAGGCTGAACCTGCAGCTCCTCATCTGCAGAGCGGCCCTTTAGGTAGAACGGGGTCTTCTGCCTTACAGGCGGTCTGCAGGATCAGGTTCTGAAGTGACTGTCCAGAGGCTGCAGTTTTTGTGAAGGCCCAACTGCACATCTGTTCTTAAAGAGATCATTTAAGCACGGGTCCCATCACTGCCAGGAGAGTTTGGGTTTTCTCGTACTTCAGACTGAATGTAACGATTTGTATGATTTGTATTCTCAGCCAATGCAAATAAATGAAATCTATTTTTTTCTTTTTTTTTTTTTTTAGGTCAAAATATAAGGTTAATTATTAATGAGAGATTTGCAAAATGAATTGTAAGCATTGCTTTAGTCATGTGTAAGATGAGTGCTTGAGATACTTGTTCTGCACCTCGCCCCATTTACTGTGTTACTGCAGGATGGGGCTCAAAGGGCAGCTGTGAGAACTGCACTTAGCACCTCTCCACTAGCTCTGTCTAGATTTTGAAAGGACTGTGCCAAGAAAGTGCTGCTATTTGCTTTTCCCACATCCCACACTGTTTGCTATAATGTACTGAGCAGAAATTTGTTTCTAAAAACTAAACTTTCCAAAATTAAATTAAAATTAAATTAAATTAAATTAAAACCCCCATCCCTGGAGGCATTCAAGGCCAGGCTGGATGTGGCTCTGGGCAGCCTGGTCTAGAGGCTGGCAGCCCTGCATGTAACAGAGGGGTTGCAACTAGATCTTCATTATGGCCCTTTTCAACACAGGTCGTTCTATGATTCTATGATTCTAAATGATTCTAAATCAGTACAACAAGCTCAGTGCACAATCCTGCAGGAGAGGAAAGGTGCATCAGAATACACGTGCACAAGAGATCTGGCTGAAATCAGAAGGTGCTTGCAGAGGCTTCCCATGGCAAGCCATCTGCTGTGGGCTCAGCAGGGCGCTGGCTTCGAGCTGTGTGGGTGAAGGACACGTCTCCCAGCTTCACTGCTGTTTGGTTATCAGTATATGCCATTGTTTTAACCTTTGCTCTGCTGTTTCTTCTGCTGCTTTCACACAGATCCTCATTCATTCATTATTATCAGCCAGAATTTCTGTTTGTAAGCTGTACTTCTTTACAGCACTCAGAAATGTCATGAGCTGTGAATGTTATCACTACTGATACCTCAACTCACTGATAGCTCCAGCAGAGTGTCCCCTTTTCACTCTGTCACTCTGGAACATTTTCCAGCAGCAAGCTGGGGCTGGTGACTTGGTGCCCACACCTTTCAGCATCACTTAGCACTGGTTGGGTACAGCTCTGTAAGATATGGTCACAGTGTCTTTGTGGAAACAGTCAGTCTCAGAGGAGCTGGCATGGCATTGGGACAGGTCAGTTCTGGTCTGGTTTTTGGTTGCTGGTAAAGGCAGTGAAGGAGCCACCCATGATACATTCAATAATCAAGGCAGAATGAGGATTTGTTTGCTCACTGGCAAATTTCAAACCTTTCCAATTACTTCACTATTAAGGATATGCTTTCCTGAACCTCCTATTTATTAGGTTTGCCCCACTGGCTCTCTTAGCTGTTCACCACCAGAGTGGGAGAAGAAAGAGAGAGGGGGAGTTACATTTCCAAGAGCCTCTGTCATATGTGAGTAATGCCCTCCACATGGATGTGTTTCTCCCTGACTGCACAGTATATGTTTTATGATCAAATCAAGGCAAGCACTAAGAAAACAATTACCTGAAGTGCAGTAGTGGGTACAGCTTCCAAAAACATCTCCAAAAATCAAGTCACATGCAAGTTCTTATCTGCTTCCACAATAGAGTCTGTTTTTTCTGGAAATATACACCTTGTGCAACGTGTCGAGCAGTTTCACTCAAGCACTAGGCTGGGCATGATCAAGTATGCAACTTCTAAGCTACTGCTGTTTATTTATCACTTGAAATGGGGGTCATTCTTGTACTCCACTATGAAGTGCAGAGAGAACAGATCCCAAACAGATGACAGAGAAACAGAAGGTGGAAAGTACATCGGCACTTAGGCATCAGTGCTTGACATAAACTACATCTTCCCCAGTTGTCTTTGCTGCATTTTGTAGAATCTTAGATGCATGGAATGGTTTGGATTTGAAGTGACCTTACAGCCCACCCAGCCCAACTCCTGCCATGGGCAGGGCTACCACCCACCAGCTCAGGCCGCCCAGAGCCCCATCCAACTTGGTCTTGAGTGCCTGAAGGGATGGGGCACCCACAGACTCTCAGAGCAGCCTGATTGCACTCTGAGTAAAGAATTTTCCTCCTAACATACAAATCTCTGCTCTTTTAGTTTAAAACCACTCCTCCTCCTCCTATCACTGTCTGCCCATATACAAAGTTGGACTCCCTCCCATTTATAAGCTCATTTTATGTGCTGGAATGCCACAATGAGGGCTCCCCAGAGCCGTCTCCAAGCTGAACAAGCCCAAATCCCTCAGCCTGCCTCCACAGGAGAGGTGCTCCAGCCCACTGATCATCCTCATTGCCCTCCCCTGGACCCGCTCCAACAGCACCGTGTCATTCTTGTGCTGGACTCAGTACTCCAGATGGGGACTTATGAGGGCAGAGCAGAAAGGGACAATCCCCTCCCTGTCCCTGCTTGCCAACCCTCTGTTGATGAAGCCTAGGGTACTATTGGCCTTTTGGACTGCAGGAGCACACTGCTGGCTCATGTCCAGCTTTTTGTCCACCAGAACCCCCAGGTCTTTCTCCACAGAACTCCCTATAACTCTACATGAGTCCTACCAATTTGTGCATACATCTAGGACTGCCTTGAAACTTGCTCCATTCTTCCTTGCTCCTCCAGCCCCTTGTTCAGACTTGCTTTTGGAAAGATCTTGGTCCAGCCTGGCTTGCCACCAGGATCCCAAATCTACTGCAGAACTGCAGCTCTGTCGCTGTTTGTGGACTTTGCTTATCAGCTCTGCAGCTCCTTCCAGCTGGCAACACACTGTAAACATACAAAATGCTTATGTTTTGGGTACTTCTCTGCAATGTGTGACATACAGCCTGTTACTCTGCAAAATGCAGCTGCTGCTCCCAACCCCATGGGCAAGGTGTGGACACGCCGTCATGTGGCCCAGCAGCCGTGTGCCAGGCCAAAGTCCTCAGGGTGTCAGGAGTTGTCAAAACACAGCAGGTTGTGCTCTGCTTCTCATATTTCTGATTTTTGTGCTGAAAGTTCCACAGGAAAGCTCTGTGTAAAGAAGGGTGACCAGAACAACTAGCTGTGCGTGGTGCTAGTACTTAAGGTCCTTGAGTACTGTGTTCAGTTCCTTGCTACAGGAGAGACATGGAGGCCCTGGAGCGTATTTAGAGAAGAGCAATGAAGCTGTGAAGGGTCTGGAGCACAAATCTGATAGGGAACAACTGAGGAAACTGGGATTGTTCGGTTTGGAGGCTCAGGGGAGACGTTATTGCTCTCTGCAGCTGCCTGCAAGGAGGTTGAGGTGAGACTTCTTCCAAGAAACAAGTGAGAAGACATGAGGAAATGGTCTCAAGTTGCATGGTAGAGGTTTAGTTTGGATATTGGGAAAAATTTATTCACAGAGTGTTGTGAAACATTGAAACAATCTGCTCAGGTAAGTAGCTAAGTCACCATCCCTGGAGGTGTTTGAAAGATGTGTGGATGTGGTGCTTAGGGATGTGGTTTAATGGTAGACTTGGCAATGATAGGTTAGTGGTTGGACTTGATGATCTTAGAGTTCTTTTCTAACCAAAATGATTCTATAAATGTTACGATCAA